GTCTATGTAAAACCTTATAGAATACTCCAAAAATATAACAAACCTTTTAAAAAAATTTAAAAGTAAAAATTTATACCTTTAAAAGTAGCAATTTTTCTCAAATTCATTTCACTCTCTTTTCCTCCATTCTCAGTTTCTTTTCCTCCACTCTCATCGCCTGTCTCTAAGTCTTTCTCTACCTTTCATTCTCTTTGTCTTGTTCTAACTCTTTGTCCCTATCTCTAACTTTCTTACTCTGTCTTAAGACTCCAATCAATTTATTTATATATAAGATCCTAACTTCAAAAGTGCACCCACTTTATTGTCTGATCCAAAAACTATTAAAATGTTGAAACTAAATCATAACACAATTTTACTTACTAAAAAAAAATCATAACACAATTTTATGTAAAATATCTAATAATAATAAATAAAATTTATTATCTTCCAAAAATATTGATTGAGGTATCATGTGAAATTCTTGTTTTAGATCCAATTTGTGTTGGGCTCCCCTTGTGTATAAGAGTAAACCCCATTAGACTTGGTTTAGGGTTTATTTGAGTGGACGACAAGGTTTGAGCAAGAAAAAGAGTAATATAATACAATTCTACTATACTTACTAAATTTTCCTTGCTAAATCAATATATAGTGTATACGGTTAGATTATTCAGTTATAATAAGTTTTTTTAGTAAGATCTATAATCTATTAATTCAACTATCCACACTAAATTAGTAAGTGAAATTTGATAAAATATTTTATATACTAATGATTACTCGTGTGTTAACATAGGTGCTTATTCCATGTCTAACATTGGAAACTTCAATCTAAGATTATTTATACCCTATAATTAAGGTAATTTTTCTCTCTTGGTTGTCTTCTTGTTTTAGCCGTGGTAGTGAAGAACTGAACTTGCATTTTATAGAGCTATAAAATCTGAAAAAGATTTCACAAAACGATATTTTTTTGGTAAGTGATGAAACTATTTACACACTATGTTTTTCTCTATGTTTCTATAACCAATCCTTTTTTTTAGTTAATATTTTATTTTCTAGATCAAAAGTTTTTAGGATATTTGGTTCTTGTACGATAAAGGTGCTAGCAATCAATTGAGAATTCCTAAACTCTACATGGAAATTCAATTAAGATCTTGGACATACAATATGTGATCCGATAACGATGTCATCCAAATTATATGTACAACCACTACAACAAAAATAATTTTTTGCGACATTTTTTTTTACAACGAATTTTAATTTGTTGCCAAAAGTGTACTATCTACGACGATTTCATAATTTTGTCACAAATTTCTTTTTTTGACAATTTTTTTTGCTATGTTTTTTGAAAAATGTCGCAAAAAAGTGATTCTCTCCCATTTTTTTGGCATGAGAAATGGCGGGAATTTATAATTTTTTACAACAAAAAATTTTTGTCGCAGATAGTTTGAATTCGTCACAAAATAAATAATATAAAATTAAAATAAATTAAAGTCAAAATATTTAATTCGCAACGTTTAAGTTTTTTGTCGCAGAATATAAATTTTAGGTATTAATGTAAAATAAAATATTAATATTATTTAGCGAAATTTTTATTATTTTGTTGGGAATATTTATTTTTTAGCAAAGTTTTTATTATTTCGTCGCACATATTAATTTAATTTTTGTATTAAATAAAATTATTAGTTCGCGACATTTTTATATTCGTCATAGAATGTAATTTTTGTAATTTTAAAATAGAATTAAAATATTATTTGCAACGTTTTTTTATTTCGTCACAAAAAAGTGTACTATCCGCGACGTTTTTTAAATTTTGTAACAAATTTTTTTTTAGCAATTTTATTGCAACATTTTAGTTTTATTTGTGACTTTTTTTAGGTTCGTCGCAAAAAATGTGAGTCCCTCCCCTTTTTTGGGAGCGATGGACGGCGGGAAATAAAATTTTTTTTACAACAAATTTATTTTTGTCACAAATTAAATAATAAAAAATTAAATAAAATAAAATAAAAATTCTATTCGCTACGTTTTTAAAATCGTCACAAAAAATATACTATCTGCGACGATTTAATAAATTTGTCGCAATAATTATTATGGTAATTTTTTTCGCGANTTTTTTTGGCACATTTGGTAATGGTTTGCATCAAAAGAAAGCAAAAATGATAGGAACCACTGTGAGGTGTATGCATGATATTTACTGAGTTCTCCATACTGCTATTCAAGGTTCTTTAGGTTGTAATGTTTATGTTTTTAAATAGTATTCTCTCTCTAAAAATTTCAAATCTTGACTTCAATTTAATGTTTTGTGCACATTCATAAATTTTGCAAGTTATACACTATTCCTGTAGTATACTGAAATTCAACTTGATTTGTTGCCAATTTGATACACTATTTGGCTTGGATTATAGTTAAAAATAAGCCCGCCTTCTTGAAGCGATATCGATGGTTGCTGAAGATATGTTTTAGGTTTGGAAGTGATAATGATGTTGGTCTTAGTGATGATAATTAATCTCAAAATTGTGATGGATGGATGGTGGTGGGGTAAAGCTCTTGGGACAAATTTGTGCTACATAAAATTAACTTAGTTGATGAAATTTGGTTTGAATTGAATAGCAAAATTAATTTAAATAGTTGACTTGGTTAGATTTAATTTCAATTTGAGCACAAAATTTGATTAGTTATCAAAATTTAGGCTAAGTGGTAATAATGGTAATTGTGGTAATAGTTCTGTATAGTTGTATTTTTAGAGGATTTTGCTTGAATTATTTATGAGACTTAAATTTTATGTATTCAGTTTCTCAATTTGATAATGTTAGCGTAACTGGATCTAATAATGGAAATTTGATTAGGACCAGTTTTCATTGATGGCATGTTATATCTCCACGAATATGTTTAAGTATGATATATGAAAAACTTCTTTAATTGATCAAGTTTGCACATCTTCATATTTTTGTAGGGTCTTATTTTTAGATAGAATTTAACCATAATTGTTTGAAAGAATAGAAAAAAAATATTATATTTAGAGGCACGAACATTCTCTAAACTATCAACATACTATGAGGATAAAAAAGTGTAATTTAACTCGGTAAAGTGTTAAAAAAATAGTTTTAATTGATTTAGGTTTTGTTGATGTTGTTTATTATATTTTTTGTTGCAATTCATCTCTTGATCTCCCTTCCTTTCTTTCTCCCTTATATTTATTTGATTGTGTTCATACCACAATGATTTTTAAATTTATTACCATTTGGATATCAATCAATAATTAAACGATCATTAAACTATGTTTGAGATTGTTTTGATTTGTATTCTATTAATTTTTTTTTAAAAATAATGGGCCCATATTATATTTATTAATATTTTTTTAGTTTTTCTAATTGGCAATCTTTTATGGCATACAGTCTCTTAATGCACATGTATTTGTTTGTGATTTTTTTGTTTGTTAAGTCGTGCATTTAGGCACGGGCAATTGCTAGTCTTTTATATTCTTCACTATTGTTTCTCTGGGCAATATATAAAAGTATTGTGTGAAGCTGGACTGTTGTATCCTAGGGACGACACGAATCTACCTTTTGTATTGTGTTTCTTCCACAAAGAGGTATAAATTGTCTTAAGAGAGCGATCTAATTCACGCCTCATCCTGCTGTTTACTTTATTTTTCAGACTCATTTTTCTAACATAATGTATTAACCAAACGGAACTATTTATCATGTCATTTGATTCTTCGTCAGTGACTAATCATCCACTTAATTGATAGTCGTTATCTATTTTAAAATTCCAAACCAAACGCCACTGTAATGATGCTATTTTATACTAGAAACAAAGAGATCATTTTTCTTTCCTCTTTTAACCTTTCTAATTTCAAGTTCATCACATTCTTTAATTAAAATTCACTTTTGGAAGGTTGTTTAATTAGCAAGTAAGACAGATTTACTGTACTAGTTATGGAAAGAAATTGGTGAGATATACTAGCCAGGAAATTAGGACACAAAGATCTGTACTAGGTCACTTTTCCTTGGTGGCCTTGGGTTGGTGACAACCTTTAAACCAAAGACTATGGATATATATCTTCTGGATATGGATCTTGTCAATTTAAGATTTTATTGATTTCGGTCAACTTCAATTATTTATCACTAAATTTAATGGGCCCCAATTGGACTTCTATAACCAATTACTAAGGCTCAATGTTGGATAATTGAGCTTAACTAATCTTGACAAATTTTGAAGTTAAAAGAATTCGGATCGAAATCATTCCAAAGGTACCAGATTCACCACTTTTTGATCATACAAACAATAATTCTGACCACAAAATATATATATATATAAACGATAACACGATATTCCGAGTAATTAGCTATATTTTATGTCTTCGCTACACAATCTTTGTTCAAAAGCAAATTATTAACTAGAACATAAAAATGAAACTAGGCGGATCTTTCCGCAAAAGAAAAAGAAATGGCAAAGATTATGAAAGAAGAAAAATGAACAAAAGAAAGAAGGATATGGCAAAACCCTTTCATACATTCCTTGCAATGCAAGGCCTAAAATAGGTTTTGCCCTAAAACCACACTAAGTAAGAAGCCAAGAAGGAAAACTTGCTTATTACAATTCATTCATTATTGACCTACGGTACTTAGCCACGCACTTATGCAAAAAAAGGATCAGCGAGCTAGGAACTATGAGGAGAAACCTTCATCTGACCTCTTACTCTTGTTGTACAGTTAGCTCTTTTGATATATCCCCTCCTAACATGACGCAAGCTCTACCGTATATGCCTTGATTTACGTGAACTATTTTTAGGCAAACCATTACCTTTTGTCTCTGATGTGGGAGGAATTTCTATTTCACGTGGCCTCTTGAGTTGTAAGAGAATATCTTTATATTGGTAGACTAGGTAATAGTTTGATCTATTTATCATTATACTAGGAAAATAAATTTTCAAACTCGTGAAATCAACATTAAAATCCTCGAACACTCATAAAAGCAATATTAAAAGTCATAAGGAATACGTGTAGCAGTATCATCTATTACATCTATAGCTGAAGTAATGGCAAGAACGGTGGAATCGATGAACCTCTAGCCATGGCCTTTTCATCAACCTTCTTGTCAACACTTATCTTCAATTCCTTCAAAGCCTTCATGAACTGCTCAAGCTCTTCCAACCCCATTCCATTAACATCTCTCTCCCACCAAAACCCTCCATTACTCATACCCTTCGCCACCACCTCTTTGTTCATCTCCTCCAGCCGAGCCTTCTCTGCCTCCAACTTCTCCAGCTCCTCAAGGTGGCGCTTAACATCCTCCCCTGTGCACGAGCCACAGCCAGTGGTTGGTTTTGTCTTCTGAACGTCTCCGGTGAGATAGCGTTCCACAACGGCGTCGGCGTTTGGATGGCCAAACGTGAAAACCCTTCCGTGAGAAGACTGTGCGAACATGGCGATTTCTGCACCGGTTAATAGTGAGAGTTCGCCGGCCTTCTTGAAGAGTCCAGCACGGCGCTTTGAGAAGGTGACTTGAAGTCTGTTCATGTTTTCTATCTTCTTGATTTCGATCTTCCTTCTGCCCTTGCTTTCCCTCTTACCCTTGTTCTTTTCCACAGCGGCCATTGCTGAGTCTTGCAAAGAGAGAGAGAACTAGGGTTTGTAGTTTGTATAAGCAAGGCTGGCCATAGATAAGATTAGCAATGCTATTGAGACAATTTAGTAATATAATTTTGGGACAGAATTATGACCATAGATAGATGACAATGAGATGTATTTATTGATAAGACTTATTATTAAATGTATTCTATTATTATTTATTAGTCACAATTTATTATATTTTCAAATTATGTCTTTTAATGTCACAATGACATTAGTGAAATATACAAAGTTCACTAAATCACCAGCTTTAGGCCTAAAAATAATAAAAAAAGACTCAAATTTATAGGTTTATAATATATTTTTTACCAAAAATTTACATTCATAAAAATTTAAATTCATAAAAATTGAGTCCAACAAAAAACTAATTAAAATTTCAACCAACAAAAAATTATTGGTTAAATGATCTGAGGTCAAAAGTTCAGCCAAATGACTCAAAATTAAATTTACAAAAAACATAATAAAATTGAAAACGTGAAAAAAAAAAAAAAAAGGTTTATACATTAAACATCACTAGTCATTATCCCTCTCTTTTTCTCTCTCTCTCTATCACACGCACATATTCTCCTTCTAGCTATACTTTTGTCCTCATCTAAAATTAAAACACAAATCAGACTATTTATTTTCATCCCCTCTCCCTCTCAATCAAACTCTCTTTTTTTTATTTAATACGTGTGTAGTGCTTTTCTAAATAACTATACAGATAAAACATTAACCTACTGATCCTTTCCAATTTTTTGTCTAATAGACGATGTTAAGGGAGAATCTTTACATCATATCTGATGGACTAAGCACAAGGGTCTAACTCTAAGAGATTCAGCTAGCCAAGCCCAAAAGAGTCTACACCCGATAAAGCTCATCAGGTTTCAGGAGTTACATCAGTACAGGAGCACACAGGGTTATCTAAGAGCTCATCCACGTCACCTTGGAAATAGTCAATACCCGAGTCATCCTTTGACCGAGTCTCATGGAAAGCACCTCAACTGCCTCGTCCGTTGAGAAGAAGTCGTCAGCTCCACCAGAATAGTTATTTAGTTGCTATTAAGTTGTCCCAATCTGTTAGGGGCGACTATAAATTGTAAACCCTGCCAACACTTAGAGGGCATGATCACACTCTGTTCAACCCGACTCTCTCCTCTCCTTCTCAGCCTGTAACTCTCTGCTCCTCCTAAACATTTGAAGCAATAAAAATACTCGGTGGCCCTAGCCATTCAAAAGTGAACGTAAGTCATCTTGACCGAACAACTATAATTCGTCTCTCCATCTCCCTACTTTACTGATTAATTACTGCATTTATTACTCATACTTGACAGGTGGTGTGCAAACTCAATTTGTACATCATCAGTTGGCGCCATTTGTGGAAAACGACAAAAATTCTCACTTCTAAACACTTCATTTGCTGAACCATTGGCGATCACTACCAAATCCATGAATCAGCCTGAAGACAATCCAAGACAAGAGGAGGAAGTAACTCCTCCACCAACCAATCATGTCCCAAATACGCAGCAAATGTTGGAGACTATGCAACAACTTGTGGCCCAAAACCAGAAGATCCTACAACTCATGCTCGATGGACAAGGAGGAGCACAGGCTGGAGGACCTCAAGTTAGAGGAGCTCCTCGCCCTGGACATCAAGGAGCTCCACACTTAGGTGCACCTCATCTGGGCGCCCCCTTTGGAGTTCCTTTGAGCGCCCCACCTTTGGGAGTCCCCTTAGGCGGCCTACACAGGGGGCCCACAATAAAGGACCTCCAACTCCTCCTTTAACTCCTGCTTCTCATGGTGGAAACCCTCATTTCCAAGAGGATGAAAGTGAAAACCAAAGTATGGAACATGGGAGTCATTTTCATGATAATTCCAAAAGAGCTTCCAACCACTAGGACAAAAAAATAAAAGAGGTGCAAAATCAATTGGGCGACATCTTCAACGCCATAAAGGTGCAAGGACCTAAGACTGTAGACTACCTTGTCAGGCAAACTGACATGCCTTCAAACCTGACGTGACGAACTACCCCCTCCCTCAAAAGTTCAAAATGTCATCTATAGAGACCTTTGACGGAACGAAAGATCCACTATACCACCTCGAAACTTACAAAACTCAAATGCAGCTGCACAATATCTCCGACGAGAACATGTGCAGGGCGTTCCCAACCACCTTGAAGGAATTCGTCTGACAATGGTTCTTCGTGTCGCACTTTATTAGACACTGGTCTTCTCCCCAACTTCCATTGCCTTATTTGCTGAGCTGAGTAGGTCCTTCGTGTCGCACTTTATTGGAGGGCGCCACCACAGAAGCCTTTCACCCATTTGCTCAGCATAAAACAAGACAAAGAGAAGAGTCTAAAGAGCTACCTCACTCGTTTTAACGAGGAGATCCTCCAAGTTGAGGAGCTCGATGACAAAGTAACTATCACCGCCTTCTTGGGAGGCCTCGGCTCATCAAGCTTCCTCTTTTCAGTAATGAAGTGACCACCAAAAAGCATATTAGAACTATTGGCAAAAGTTCAAAGATATATGAATGTCAAGGAAATCAACAGGTCTAGACGAGGTGAATCATCTCGCGAATTACTAACAGATTGACCTGCCTCTACACTGCTCTCAAGTAGGCAGCCTATATATCCAGCTTAGCGGCTCTCTCGCTGGTCGCCAAAAGCTTGGCTTCTGCACTGTTCTCAAACAGGAAGCCTATATCTCCAACTAAGCGGCTCTCTCGCAGGTTTCCAAAAGCTTGGCCTCTACACTACTATCAAACAGGCAGCCCATATCTCTAGTTGAGTGACTCTTTCACGAGTCGCCAAAAGCTTGGCCTCTACACTGTTCTCAAATAGGCAACGTACATCTCCAGCTTAGTGGCTCTCTCGTGGATCGCCAAAAGCTTGGCCTCTGCACTGTTCTCAAACAAGCAACCATATCTCTAGCTGAGCGACTCTTTCACGGGTCGCCAAAAGCTTGACCTCTACATTGTTCTCAAATAAGCAGCCTATATCTCAAGCTTAAGGACTCTCTTATGGGTCGCCAAAAGCTCAGTCTCAAAAAGTGTAACTCTATCATGAGCAATCCTCAAACTCTATCTTTGTTCTCGCACAAGCAGCCTGTCTTTCTCTCGATGTAATCATGTTAGATATTTAATGTTAGAATAACATTAGTTTTACCAGGCACACTTTTGAGGCTCAGGTTGTCTGGGACTACATTAGATTAAATGTCATCTACCTTTTTGTGCCCATCCAGCACTACTACCTTGTTGCCACAGCTCTTCAGCGCTTATGGCTAACAGCGCCAGCACCCAACGTCTGTGCCTCCTACCCTGCATCGCCCACACATGCACTCAGAGCCTCAGTCACATGCCCCACCAAGCTCACCTAAGCATAGGCACCCACCATGCCACCTACCTCAATAGAGCTTTGACCGCAAGGGGTCTCCATCCGTACAAGCATAGGCACCCACCATGCCACTTACTTCAGTGGAGCTCGCCTAAGGGAGCTCACAAGGCCTCCTGCTCGCCGAAGTTCCCCAAATCAGCTCCCAAAAGGGTGCCCANAGGACTCTCTTATGGGTCGCCAAAAGCTCAGTCTCAAAAAGTGTAACTCTATCATGAGCAATCCTCAAACTCTATCTTTGTTCTCGCACAAGCAGCCTGTCTTTCTCTCGATGTAATCATGTTAGATATTTTAATGTTAGAATAACATTAGTTTTACCAAGCACACTTTTGAGGCTCAGGTTGTCTGGGACTACATTAGATTAAATGTCATCTGCCTTTTTGTGCCCATCCAGCACTACTACCTTGTTGCCACAGCTCTTCAACGCTTATGGCTAACAGCGCCAGCACCCAACGCCTGTGCCTCCTACCCTGCGTCGCCCACACATGCACTCAGAGCCTCAGTCACGTGCCCCACCAAGCTCACCTAAGCATAGGCACCCACCTTGCCACCTACCTCAATAGAGCTTTGACCGCAAGGGGTCTCCATCCGTACAAGCATAGGCACCCACCATGCCACTTACTTCAGTGGAGCTCGCCTAAGGGAGCTCACAAGGCCTCCTGCTCGCCGAAGTTCCCCAAATTAGCTCCCAAAAGGGTGCCCAAGGCCTCATGCTCACCCAAGCTCGCCCAAAACAGTGTGCCCAGCTACCTGCTCGCTGTTTTGACCATAACTTTTACTCTGTAACTCCAAATGGGACTTATTATATATCCAATCGAAGCTCTCGGTGAGCCCTACAAGACACATAGCATTTGGCTATGATTGATGATCTGAAAATCCCAAAAAGGCCCAGAAATAGATGTTTTGGCCTCCTAAAGTTTTAAAAAAAAAAATTTAGCTACGTGCTCGCCCAGGTCAACGCCTGCTCACCTAGAACCGCACGCCCAGGTGCATGCTCTCTATTTTGACCGTAACTTTTACTCCGTTACTCTAAATAGGGCCTATAATATATCAAATCGAAGCTCTCGGTGAGCCCTACAAGACAAGTGGCCTTTGGCTATAATTGATGTTGTTAAAAGTCCAAAAAAGGCCCAGAAATAGATGTTTTAGCCTCCTTAAATTTTTTCAGTTTTGCCAATCAGCCAAAAATTTAAACTCAACCGAATGTCCTCCTCTCCAATTTTCATTGGACATAGGATATTGGGGGGCAAATGATAGGCTAAGCCCGAGGGCCCAACTCTAAGATGATCAGCTAGCCAAGCCCAAACGAGTCTGTATCCGATCAAGCTCATCAGGTTCTAGGAGTTACATCAGTAGAGGAACACGCAGGGTCGTCTAAGAGATCATCCACGCCACCTTGAAAATAATCAATAGCCTAGTCATCCTTTGACTGAGTCTCATGGAGAGCACCTCAACCATCCCGCCCATTGAGAATCAGTCGCCAACTCTACCATAATAGTTTTTTAGTTGCTATTAAGTCGCCCCAATCTGTTAGGGGGTGACTATAAATTATAAACTCCGCCAACACTTGGAGGGCATGATCGCACTCTGTTG